AAATAAATAAATAAATAAATAAATAAATAAATAAATAAATAAATAAATAAATAAATAAATAAATAAATAAGAACCTTTTGTATAATAGTCCTGCTCAGGTATTATAAACCTGGACTCACACTCTAGATTTGTTGGTTGGAATGGACACATGGAGTCCATCCAGCTAAAACTATTGGGGTAATGGAAAGTACCATTCCATTGACTATACTGCTGAGTTTAATACAGTATTCATAAAACCTGAGACCTGTTCCATACCTTTCAACATAGCTTGGCAGTGTATGAAATACTTCTATAAGAAATGTTGACATCATCTTTTACTTAGATGGTTTCAACTGCAAGTTTAGATCATTGTGCTGTAATAGGTAAGGAATATTTCAGTGTAGAAACAAATGAAAGTTGAACAATCGAGAAGGAAGACAAATATATTGACACATTGATGGATGTAGGCAAACTGTGTTTTTTTAAAAAACAGTCTTACTGTGCAACTTCATAGGAAATACATGATGTCACTGAGTCAGCCATAAACCCAGAAGGCTTTATAATTCGTAGCTTAATAATGCTGTGTTTAATATTTCACCTGAGTCTTGCTAACCGCAGTATGAAAGTTATTGCAAGTAAATCGCATTCCTCTTCATTTCTGTCAAAGCCTGTCCCGTGTGTTTTACATGTATGTAAAAGCTTTTCCTTTGACTCTTATCAATGAGTCAATTAATATGTACCATGCAAAAGCACACAATATTTTAGTATGCTTTCTTTAATTCTTATGTCTGAGCCTTTCATTCAAAAATTTTTCATTTTAAAATAACTAACCAGCTGTTTTCCCCCACCTCATTTTCAGAATGGATGAAACAAAATCTTCTAACGAAGTACTTCAAAGCCCAAACAAATGTAATGACCTTCAGAATGCCACTGAGGAAGCAAATGGTAAGAAAAGGTTAATGAGTGTATTTTATTCTTGATAAGGGACCAGAGGGCTTTAGCTTGATATCAACTTAGTAATCACCCCTGCTCAACTGCCCTTATAGGAAGTGAAGAATAGGGGTTAGAAGCAGTAGGAAGGTCCACTCAAGTAGGTCAGCTCAAAGGAGTTGTGACATATATGAAGAAGTAGCACTGAACCTTCTACTAGTACAGGGGTGGACAATCTCAGCAGGATTGTAGAGGCAGCATCTTTTCAGATTTCCTTGCAGCCTGAGTACCTCATTTTTGAGGAGGAGTGACACAAGGAAAAATGCTATATTCCATTGCTTGTTGTAGGTTTTTTTGGACTGTCTGGCCATGTTCTTGAGGTTTTTCTTCCTAACGTTTCACCAGTCTCTGTGGCTGGCATCTTCAGAGGACAGGAGTTCTCTCTCTCCATGATCTGGTGCAGTTTTGTGGGATAGCTGAGCATTTATAGCTGTGGGATCAGTTTTTGTCCATTTCAGGAGATTGGGTGATTATGGTGATCAGCATGTTTTTGTTGTGGGTGTATTGTTGTGATAATGGGGAGAGATGACCTGTCACTGTGATTGATGGGTGTCGTTAGCTGGTCTTTTGTGTACAATGATCACTGGTCCTTGTGGCTGGGTAGAGTTTGTTGACCTTTTGCAGGCTGTGTTTTTCAGTGCTGGGAGCCAGGCTTTGTTGAGCTTTAGACTTTCTTCTTTTTTGTTGAAGCTCTGCTGGTGTTTGTGGATTTCAATGGCTTCCCTGTGCAGTCTAACATAATGATTGCTGGTGTTGTTTGCTGGTGTTGTCCAGTACTTCTGTGTTTTGAAATACAATTTCATGTCCAGCTTGTTTCAGGAGATGTTCAGATACTGCCGATTTTTCTAATTGTTTTAGTCTGCAGTGTCTCTCATGTTCTTTGATTCTGGTGTGGATGTCGCATTTTGTGGTTCCAATATATGTATCTGGTTTACTCCTGCAGTGGTGAGGGGGTCTCTTTTTTTCTAAACTATCTCAACATCCACCCAAATATACAATTTACCATGGAAAAAGAAATAGAGGGCCAGCTCCCTTTCTTAGATGTCATGGTCATAATCAAACATTACCTCCTATTGGGACACAAGGTCTACAGAAACCCCACACACACACACCGGTACCTACACAAAAACTCCAGCCACCACCCATAGCAAAAAAGAGACATAATCAAAACATGGTAGACTGTGCAAATCAGAACTGTGAAGCTCAGTTTCTGAGCACCAAACTCAACCATCTGAATTGGGCCCTACAGGCAAATGGCTACTCCAAAAATGAAATCACAAGAGCCATCAAACCAAGGAAGAAACACTGAACTAAAGAGGAAAAAATAAATAAAGTATTTCTGCCATATATCCAAGGGGTCATGGACCGCATGGGGAAACTTTTGAAAAAACACAAGCTACAAACAGTATTCAGGCCCACCACAAAAATACAACAAATGTTATGGTCAACAAAGGACAAAAGGGACCCCCTCCTGTGGCCAGGATCCCGGCTGTGAAAGCCTTCGAGAATACACTAAATTCCATACTTAAATTTTTAATTATTTTTTATTGGCAATGATTATCACAGTGGGTTTTATTAACAGAAGAATAGGTTTAACTAAAAGGAAGGGTAAAAGGAAGGAGATCCCTTGTACCCTTGCCTGTCATAAGAATACAGTGTAATTCAATGTGTTATCCTCTATCTCCTCTTACAGATGTTCCAATAAATACTGTTAACACTGATGGTGTGGATACAGATGACATCTCAAAAGATAATAATGAAAAGGAAATCAGATTGCAGAATGTAATAGATGGGAGAGAAACGGAGGGAGAAGATTTGAGGACCAGCACGCATTGTATCAGTCCAGATTTCCAAGAAGAGGGTCAGAAAGTTGTGGAAAAGATGGAGGAGAATATTGATAATAGATCTCCCTCCTTATCAGAATTAAGTGGATTGTGTCCTGGTTGGACCAGTGCATTCTATGGTTCAGAATGTTTTAGCCTGGAGGTTCACAACTACATTAGAAAACTTGGAAAGCGAAAAGCCAATGGTACTCAAAACATTGATGCTAAAAAAGTGGTAAGTATCCTGAATTGTCAAGATGGAAAAGAAATGCATGTGTAATTTTTTTTTTGCAAAGGGCTATAATAGGGAGTACAATAAACAAGATATTGTTCAGTTTTTCTAAAGAAGCAGCTAAAGGATCCCTAACAAGTAATAATAATGTGCTGTCAAGTTGATTCTGACTTATGGTGACCCTTTTCAGGATGTTCTAGGTGGAGAACCCAGAAACAGTTTACCATTCCCTTCTTCTGGGTCATCTTGAGAGTGTGCAGTTTCTCCAAGGCAGTACAGGCTGATTAGGGAATTGAACTCCCAGTCTATCAGCCACCTAACTGTGTCAACCCTGTTTAAAAATGTCCAACAAAGGAGAATCCACCACCTTTCAAGGCAGAATACCAAGCTTTTTGTTCGTTTGTTTGTTTTGCTATTGTGTCACACTGTTTAGCGGGTGATCTTCTAAGACCATTAGATCCTTTTCATATGTTCTGCTGATGTTGCACCTATTTTATATTTGTGTGCCTTATTTTTCCTGCCTAAATGTGGAACATTATATTTTTATAGTTGAAAATCATTTAGTTTGTTCTATCCCAGGTCTCCAATCTGTTAAAAGTAGTCCTAAATTGTGATTCTGTCTTCTGAAGTATTAGATACCTGCTCAGTTTGGGGCTGGTCTGCAAATTTCATGAGCATTTCCTCCATTCCTTGAATTAGATTGTTTATAAAGATGTTGAACAACACTGGGCTGCAGACCAAATCTTGTGGCACCCCACCTGTCGCTTCTCTCGAGGATGGCGGTTAGCCATTGGTGAGCACTGTTTCCCAATCTTGGTTTCCCGCATGTTCTTGAACGAAAACTCCCAGAAGCTTTCACCACTAGCTATGCTGACCAGGATTTCTGGGAGTTGTAATCTAAGAACATCTGGATGCCCAAAGTTGGGAAGCACAGGTATAGAACTACCTACAAACTCACCTAATAGTAGCACCATCTAGCCCAGCCGTTCTCAATGGAATGGGGCCCTGGCACATTTGAAGAGGGCTACAGACTAGAAGCATTCTACATTTCTTTTATACTGTGTTTATGGCTGTGGCCAAAAAACAAACAGACAAACAAACTTGGGAATGGCTGACATAGCCAACATTTTGCCATCTTGTGAACATACGAGGCATCTGTTGAAAACCTTGCTGAAATATAGGTGAAGAACATCTGCAATATTTCCCTGAGTTACCAGAATGTAACTCTGCCAAAAAAGGAGGCAGAAAATTAGTTTGGCATGCCTGTTTACAAGGAACCATATTGGCTCTTAATTACCCACCTCTATTCTTCTGGAAGCTAACCTGTTCTCCAGGAATTCTCAAAGGTTATAGACAGAGGTTCTGTGATTACACCTGCAACCTTTTATGGTGCCTTTTGGATGCCGTTCACCTGGTCCAGGAGACTGGAACACATTGAAAACAGCTAGATACAATATTCCTGTTCCACCTCTTTAGCTGCCCTGTCTGCCTTTATTTTACCTGCATCAGATTCAGCATGGTTGTTCTTTTACGAGAAGAGAGAAGCAACTGAGGTTTTCAGCAGTGTTGCCTTCGCTGTGTCACCTACTAGTATTTCTCCATCCACTTCACACTCTTACCGCTTCCTTGTGCTTCCTTTTGCTTTCAAGCATAGACTGTGTCACCTACTGGTATTTCTCCATCCATTTCACACAGTACATCCTTACCGCTCCCTTGTGCTTCCTTTTGCTTTCAAGCATAGCTGAAAATCCCCTTCTTGTTTTTAACCTCTCTTTCAAGTCTCAGCTCATTTGGCGCTTTAGCCTTCCTAACCTCTTCTTTCTGCAAATATTCGCTACTCATTTCTATTATTTCTTGGTGATCTGCCTCTCCTTCCATGCCCTGTATATGCCCTTCTTAAAGCTTAGCTAATGTGAAAGCTCATTATAGAGCCACATCAGCTTTCTTAAATGCCTCCTGCTTTTCTTTCTTGTTTGTGATTTTTTCCTGCAGTATTTCATCCTTAAGAATCCCTTATCCATTATGGACTCCCTTCTCTTTGAGTATATCTGAGCATGAGGTTTGATTTAGTGAGATATACAAAAAGCTGATGATGCTATCAGTAGGGGGAGATTTTCAGAAAAATCACCCTCTGCTGATGTCATCCACCTTCTGCAGATGCAGTTGTGCAAACAGTGTTTCAGCCAGTGAGACTTAATCATTTCTACTGTTAAGCTCACAGACATCTATCACACTCTAGATACAGAAATCTTTGCCTGCAAAGGTCAAATATTTAACAGAGAGACATCATCTGGGGAACATGTCTTGAACTGAAAATCATTAGCTTTGATTTTTAGTATGTACACGCAAAGCCTGTTCTTAAGAAGAACTGTATTAGTTCACTTAGGGGTTGGTGTCCTTATCAAAGAAACCTAAAGATGTTAGCCTTCAGACATCTCTTGCTTTAGGGAGAGCTTAGCTAGTCAGGCAAAGGAAAATAGCCGTTCCTTTACCAGATCAAAAGCTTCTGCTGAGTTAAACGTAAAGATTTTTCTAACCCAAAGGAGACCTGGCTTAGCCTTGAGTTATATTCATGAATTTCCATTTTTATTTTTATTTTTTTTCCACAAAAGGTTTTTCCGCTAACAAATTCACATACAATGTATAATGCCATACTTCAAATGGCAAAGCTATTTATGGTTAGTCTAATCGTCATTAAGCTAATCTCGGGAAAACCTATGAATCATTGTGCTTCAGACACTTGAATACTTCTTCTGTAAAGAATAATGGAAGCACATTATGTTATATAACCAAGTCACCTGTTCATACAGGTCTATCTTGCAGGATTTGGCAACTTGCGCTGTAGAACAGATTTCACGAACTGCAGTGAAGCTATTTAATATTTACTGAGAGCAGGATTTTAACCTTTGCTACTTTTATGAGGTTTTCACTGCTTGGTTCTTTATTTTGCAGAGGTGAGAGGAACAGATAACCCATCTCTCAAGTCTATGAGAACTAAGCTATACAATACATTAGATATAATGTGTTGAGGGCCACTGAGGCCTTCTCTTTCACTTCCAAACAACTGCATAATCACCTGCTTTAAGCTTTCCCTGTCCCCAGCTTATTTTCCCCCCCTAATCTTCCCTCCTGTAAAAAGCCATCCTTAGTACTCCTTGAGGGTTCTTCTCTTTTTTAAGCCCCTGTATGACAGGAGAGGAAAGAAGGAAAAATAAACTGCTGACAGCCAAGGGAGGGGGAGAAAAGTTTAAAACACATTTACCTATGTTTTGGTAGCCCAAATCCAGTTCTCATGTATTTATGTAGAAGTGGGGCTCAGCTGCATGATGTATATTTAACATACTGCGTAGAGCAGCTGAATAGTAGCTATTTTTAACTGAGAAGCTACAGGCAGAAAGTGCTTAGGAAAGCAAGGAGCAAAAATTGTTCATACAGTATAAAAAGCCACCATCAGTGTCTCATGACAGAAAGGTGATCTGTAGATAATTCAAAGCAAAATGTTATGTGTTCAATGTATGGTCAGGGTTGCAGGGAAGGTATTTGACTAGCCCTTATTGTCCTCAAATATCTTTCTATGCATTTTTGCATAGATAAATATTGATATTATATTCTGATTGAAGTTGGCTTCAGTTGATATCTATGATTCAGTTTAAAGCAACCTGGTGTTATGGTGAAGTGTTTTGTTGAATAATGTAAGTATAATGTTAACTAAAATATTTTTAAGACATTTAAGTAAATTTGGAGCTGATCTAGCTCTCTGGATTGGAGCACCTGGTTATAGAGCCCAGGCCATGAACTCAAATATCCACTATACCTCTCAGGGGATTCACCAATTGAGATCTCTAGAGTATTTATGGTTGGTGAAGTTACATACCCTGCCATCTGCATGGTCCTGGGCAAGCTGCACAGTCCTGTGATGCCACCAGAAGGAGGAACTGGTCAACTGCTTCTACATATACAGTAGGACCCCCTTATCCACAGGTTCAATATACACTGATTCACTTATCCAGTCTGAAAATATTAAAAACGTTAAAAGAAAAAAAACAGGAAAAAAACTATTTTCATATGTATTACCAGAACAAGCCACTAGAGGGAGACCATGCTATGAATACTTTTTAGTGAAGAATACCTAGCATGGTCTGTGGTGCCCTCTAAGGGCTGCTTCTGGTAATGCATGTGAAAGTATTTTTTCTAAGTTTTTTTTCTTTTACAATGCTATAGAGAGAGAGTGTGTGTTCACTATTATCCACAGTTTTCCATATTTATGAGGGGCTTGGAACCAATCCCTGGCAGATGTGGGGATCCTGTTGTATTGAAAAAACCCTGAGTAAGTCACTGTAAGTTGTTTTGTTTGTTTGATGGGCAAGTACTTAAACCAGAGACTGAAATCTTGTCATGCAGCTCCACATGTGCAACATGAAGCTGTTAGGAGTGTTAGGAGAATTGAGGGAGGGCACTTCTGCATGTGTTCCATGCAACAGGCAAGCAGACCTTTACCACTAGAGAGGTACAAATAAGCTGCTTCCACTGCTGGATTGCTCTTCCTGTCTCATCTCTTTCCCCAGTCTATTGTTTGATCAGTGCTTTTGAAAAGCTAATTAGAAACAGGAGTAGGTAGCAGAGAATAATGCAGCATTTTTACAACTGGAAATGTATTTCCTCCCTCACCACCTTGCCAAGAAGGAGGTTTTCAAGGTGCTGAGCCAGCTGCCCCTCTCAGTCACCCACCATTTTCCCCCAGCACAGACAGACACAAGGCTGGGTGGATGCTCACATATACACATACTCATCCACACCTGACAACATGTTCCTTCCCTTTCTGCTTTTCCCTGACTCAGCCACCAAATCTTCTGAGTATCAGCTTTGAGGGAGCCAGCTACCTCTCTTGCTCTCTCATTCTGCTTTGCTTGCCTTCCTCCCTCCAGTCTAGCCTAACACCCAACACACGTTAGCTGGCATTAGTTTACATTATATGGAAATGACGATCACTGTATCCATATTTGAGGTAATAAGGGAGAGGTGAAGTTCTGATATGTTTGAATTCGCAAATGACTACTTAAAAGAATGACAGCTATTTATTTATTTATTTATTTATTTCAAAAGAATGACAGCTATTATTTATTTATTTTAAAATAAACAGCTACAGGTAAGCAACCTGTCCATTTGTAGGGAATACAGCTGTTCTCAGTCAGATCAACTGCTGTGTAATTGGACTGAGACGGTAATGTCTGAAAAAGGCTTATGTGGTTGATTGCTAGAAGCTGCCAGTGAAAATGTAACAGTGTTTTCGTCTGTCTTTTATGCTTTGCTTTAAAAGATAAGACAATACTGATGAATTTGCTGTTGAATGGTTCTTACTACACTCAGATTCTGTTCATCACAGCTCTGCACAGAGGAAAAACTGCATCATCATTGCTTTCACTATATACTGTTCTTCCTGTTAGGAACTTGAACAGCTGATAATGATTGAGGGGAGAAACTATAGAAAGAGTATAAGATTCTACCAGAAGGTGCTGGGTACAGAGAGGAGAAGCAAAGGTATGTCTGTAATTCATAAACTTCAGAGCTATGCTGTAGCAACTGTGCTAATACAAAGTGGTCCTCACTGCACTTTTTAAATCTTGAGGTGGTGAAGTGAAAACTATGTTGCCTAAACTGAGGGGACAACTGGAAGAAATGAAATCAAAGGTACAGTTTCTTGAACTGGTGAAGAAATATCTTCAGGTAATTCTTTGATTTGTTGGATTTTTTTTAAACCCTGGAAATGAATCTGTTTCTTGTATTAGTATGACTAGAAGTTTTCATATGATGGTTATTGGTAGAGGAATTAAGTGAGGCGTGTCCAAAAAAAACCTAAAATTAAACAAAATGGAGAACTGAATTCCTCTTCATCAGTATCATACACTCCCATCCAGTGCCTTGAGTAAAACAATACTATATTCCTTAGAACTGAAAGATACAGTAGGGATCCATGTGGATAGCCCCATCGTATGTTTTTCTTGGCTATGCCATAGAATGTCAGAATGTTAGAGAACTTTCATTTGTCTTTTGTACCATTTTGTGTGCCTTGGCTCCTTTTGTTGCAGATTTCGTATGCAGAAAAATGGGGAGTGGAACCATGCAACCTTCTCACAGTTGTTAACATGGCAAGAAATGAAACTCTGAACATCAGCTCCTTGGATGACATTCTCCTTTTCTATAATATAAGTGAAAAACAATATAAAGCCCAGCATAATGCTAATCAAAATCGGCCAGGAAATCTACAGGCTGGAACACCACTTGGGCTAATGGCCTATCTCTATTCCAGGTACCTTGTAGTCTGCATTTCCATAAGAGATGAGATCTACCTTGTGTCACTGTTTCATGCAAACGCAGAGGCATGCTAAGCTCAAGGCTAGTCAATGTTCTGTGTCAGCTGGAGAACAGAGGAAGATTGTATGCAATGAGTCCCATGTATTTTCTAGCACAGAATTTTCTGTATTGTTCAGTAACAGTTTAGAAGAATTTTTCCAGGTATCAGAGAGGAGCCTTTCCTAGCCTTGCTACATATTTCAAACTATGGCAATGGAGTGTTCATACTTGTTAACAGAAATATGAAGAACATTGTTCCATAGTTAAGAAGGGATGGGGGTTGTCCACATAAAAGGCTCTCATCCCCTCACTTTTTCAAATTTAGAGGAAGATGAACCTCAGTTTAGCTAGAGATGGAACAGAAGTCTTCAAGATCTCCTTTTCGATATTAGTGACAAAGTGTAGAAATGTACAGATGGCTAATCTGCACAGAAAGCATGATGAAAAGAGAGAAGTGGTTGTAAAGCAATACCAAACAAATCAAGGTGTACCTTCTTGTTACTTTATAAACATAAGGACTGAAGGGAATTGGTCCCAATCTAACAAACCTATCTCCTTAGTTACTTTCTTTCCCAATTTAATTAATTAATTCACAAGATGAACCTGGGTTAGGATCAACTCACTAGTATCAGCAGAAAAACAATTGGTGCTCTAAGGTCTAAAATTGTGGTTTAAAAAAGGAAGAGGTGGTGGTGGAGGAGAAAAGAAGCAAATTCAGATTGTAATCCTTGAGCATCAGGCATGATAAAGTGGATGTGGTTTGCTCAATAGGACAATTGGGACAAGAATGAGTTGGCCACTACTGTATAGTGAAATGTCTTCTCTAATGTCATGGGTGGAGAAAGAAAGCTGACCCCTCCTTTCTTTTAAATGTTCATTTACTGGACTTGCAATGCTTTTTGAGCACTCAAGGAGCAATTCACTACTTTATGCTCTTAAGGTCGAAGCTCCCTTGGTGCCTTTGTAGAGAGCACAGATCTTGTTAGTTTAGGTGTGAGGAATTAAAACAGGGACAGGTCAGCTTAGGAGGCTTGGGGGCCAAATTTATGCCTCAGTCCCTCTGCATGCTCCATACAGCTCAAGAATTATTTTCAGCACATCCACCCACCCTTTTTAAACAAAAGTAAACACAACATTCCTGGGTGGGAACCTTCAATTTTGGAGGACGTCCAGGGACTTTCAGCTTTCCTCGTGTCCTCTGATATAAAAATTACTGCTCCTGGAAAGACAAAAGGAACAAAAACAGACCAACCTGTGTGTACATGCATGCAGCTTTCATACTTTCTAAGTGCATGCGTGTGGTCTCAAGCCACACATTGCCCACCACTGCTTTAAAGCTATTCAATTGTGAATGCAGAATTCTAATTTAAAATAGCTTCCCTTATCAAGGAAACTAGAAAATAAATGAAATAAAGGGACCTAGAATATATTATTTTTGCTTCTCAGTTGTTTCTTCTGTTCTTGATTCCAAAACAGCACCATTGAACTTGCAAAATTGATTTTTCTTCTTCTTATATTCAGAAGTGCATTTTTGGAAGGCTATGTACAGCAGTTCTTGTACACATTTCGTTATTTCTGCTCACAAGAAGACTTTCTGCAGTTTCTTCTTGATAGAATCAAGACAACTTTACCCAGGTATGTACTGAAATTACATTGAATTCAAAGACATTTCAGTTGACTAGCACTGATACATCAGTAGCTTTCCAGCTGTTCCTTCACAATTGTTCATAATTTCTAACTTTTTGGAAAAGAACTGAATACATTCACTTAGGGTAGGATGTATATGTTTTACAGTGGAACCTCTACTTACAAACTTAATCCGTCCCAGATGATGTTCGTTAGTTGAAACGTTCATAAATAGAAGCTCCATGTCCCATAGGGATGTATTGAAAAGCATTTAATCCATTCCAGCTGAAGAAACAATACCCAAAAATAAAATAAAATCAAACACTGCAAGCTCCTGGGACTGCAAAAGACAAAAACAAAGTTTTAAAAAAGCAGCACCTTACCTCCATCACCGTGACTGCCACTAGCAGGAGGCCTCCTGGGCTGCTGCTGCCGGGCCAAGGCTTCTCTGCCACAGGTTCGCCGCAAGTGCTGCCTTTCTCCCTCACTGCACGGTTTCTCTGCTGCCATGGGAGGCTTTCCCGGAGCTCGCAGAAAGTGCCGCCTTTCTCCACCGCCATCCACTGTCAGACCAGGGTTTCCACCACGCCAATGTAGGTGCCACTAGCAGGAGGCCTCCTGGGCTGCTGCTGCCGGGCCAAGGCTTCTCTGCCACAGGTTCGCCGCAAGTGCTGCCTTTCTCCCTCACTGCACGGTTTCTCTGCTGCCATGGGAGGCTTTCCCGGAGCTCGCAGAAAGTGCCGCCTTTCTCCACCGCCATCCACTGTCAGACCAGGGTTTCCACCACGCCAATGTAGGCTAGGCTTCCGCTGCCGGGCCAAGGCTTCTCTGCCACCGCCGCAGGCTTTCCTGGGGCTTGCAGAAAGTGCCGCCTTTCTCCGCTGCCATCCCCTGCCGGACCAGGGTTTCCACCACGCCAATGTAGGCTTCCCCTGGTAGGCCCGGTCTACCTGGGAAAGCCTGCGTTGGCAGCGTGGAAACCCTGGCCCAGCAGCAGGTGGAGGCGGAGAAGGGCGGCGCTTGCGGTTAACCCCAGGAAAGCCTGTGGGGCAGCAGCAACCCAGGAGGTGGAGGCAGAGAAGGGCGCTGCTTGCGGTTAACCCCAGGAAAGCCTGTGGCAGCGGCGCTAGAAGCCCGGGAGGCTGAGTCCAACTGGGATGGTCCGGTGGCTCACCTCCCAGCGGCAGTAGCAGCAGCAGTAGAAGTCCAGGAGGCTGAGCCTCCCTTTCCCTAACCATTGGGGCGAAAGAGCTACAAAGAAGCAGCCTCTTCGCCACCAACAGTTAGCAAATTTAAATTTCCCGCCCTTTTCCCCTGCCTTTTTTTCGTTCGTATGTTGAAGCTCCATTTGCAAGTAGAAGCAATATTTTGCGAACGGAGCTGTTCGTAAATTGGATTGTTCATAGGCAGGGACATTCGTAAGTAGAGGTTCCACTGTATTTTGAAGAGAACAAAGTTTTCTGCTTGATAGAAGGATCACTACCCTTTTTGGGACAAAAAATAAAGCTTCATTTCAATAGCTTTTTTTACAAAATTTCTAACAAAAGATGGTACAGTTTTATTACTTGTGTTCTTGAAGTGATAAGATTAAATGATCTGTTCACATATTTCAACACAGTAATATAATAATTGTCTCTGTATTAATAAGTGTTCTCCTCTTTCTAGTGCAAGCATAGAATATTGTTCTTTGCTTAGCCAAATATACCACCGCAGTTTCTCCATTCTACAGAGCTGGATTGAAGACTGTTATGCTGTAGACTTTACAATAAACCCTCACTTTATGAGTACACTGAAAGACTTTATCATTTCTAAGGTAATTCACTGTTTTGACAAGAAGCTTAAGGTAAATGTCATCTAAATCAAAGTGAGTTATGACATGCAAGATTGCAGCAACATTATATGAGAATCTGACTCTAAATATAATTGAAATGAGAAAGGAAAGCCATGCCTTGGGAATCCACACACATTATTTGTAAATGATTCTGGTAAAACAAGATTTATTTTACCCAAATTAAGGCATTTACAATTTGAAGTATAGATACATAGAAGAACGTAATCATGAACTCTTTGTAGGTAATTCCATTCAGTGGCTATAGCAAGTGGATGCTTTCATTGCTTGATGTCAGTACAAGCAGGAAAGGGAGCATTGTTTCGCAGTGCCACAAAATGGAAGAATGGAAAGAAATGGAGAAAACTCATGAAACACAATCTTCACTATCTTCACGGCAGAGTCCCACAAAAGATTATTTTAAAAGGGTATGTTGTTTCTTTCATTTCCTTCGTGGCAGTAGCACATACCACATGATTTAATTTTACTTAGTTACCTTTCTTATCCTACCTGAAATCTTAGGATATATTGCAATATATTTTTGTCTCTTGAGAAGGCAATATGCTAAGGGTGTCACGGGAACTTGGTGTCTTAACAAAGATTGGAAGTTTGATTTTTGAATAGTAATTTCCGCTTTAATGTTACAGATTATTGTAGTGTTACTTGAATTAGATTTTGGCTATTTTCAGTGCCTTGGAGCTACAAAAATTGGCTTATTCCATAGATAGGCAAATATGTATCTTGGAAGGTGACATGCCATAGCACTAATGAATCAAACATGTTTCTCCTCTCTACCTGCGACATACTATCACTGCAGTTAACGATGAGTGTCCTAATTGTCAAGATACCATGGCAATTTATACAGTAAACAGTCTTATAATCCTGAACTTATTTGAAACATAATAAATGCTTCTGTTAGAAAGATGGTTGTACCAAGAAGGAAGCAAGGGATATGGGGCATTTTATTGGGGAGGAGTGGATTAGACCACTCTGATTTGAATAGCTATTGGCTTTTGGTGGGTGGGAGGACAAGGTACATGAGCCTAAGATTGCAACACAATTCCAGAGGTTTTGGCTCCATGTCAGTCAGGCTCTCTGTTTTATTTTGGAGTGAAAAACACTATAATCCCTCTGGTGGAAGACTGGAGTAGTTTGACTGTTGGAGGAAATTGGTCATTCCCTTACAATGAACAGAGTATAAAATACAAAACACATCTACAGCACAGGGGAAATGTGAAGGAGAGAATGGCAAAATAAAAAATAGTAAAAATAAAAAAATCCCAGTTTCTTTTGTATTAACTTGCCTTCATATATAAAGAGGGAAAAACCTCTCTTCTATTACAATCAGAAGAATAAAAGAAAGCTATTGCAGTCTCAACCATGTGGGAGATGGTTGTCCACCATGCTGGCCATATGGTCTGGGTCAGGAAGAGAAGTTACATGTCTGCTCTAATCGATGATTAATAAACAAAAGAGGCAAAGCAGAGCAAGAAAGACAAACAGGAAGAGGGAAAGGGCAAGCCAGAGGCATGAGAAAAGAATTCTGCTAATTGTTTAATGGGAAAGGAGAGAATCACTTTTGAGTCTTCGATTCCCTTGAACCGGGGAGATATAGTGTTCTTTGGACTTTGTTCTTTGCACCTCTTTTGTAAGGATAGTGCCATGGGCCCATTTCTCTTCTTTTTGCTTGGTGGACAGTTCCACAGTTCCATTCTCACCCCTATGCTGTTTAAGATCCACATGAAATGTCCAGGAAATCACATGTAGGTTTGTGCAACCGAGTGATCATTTATGTATGATCCAGAGAACAGTGGAAATCTTTGTTGCATTTAATTGTGAAAGGGTACATAGGCCAGAATAAGCTGAACATTAATACTGACAAGATTCAAGTTCTTTTTAGGGGTAAACTAGCAATTTAGGGTTTGGGTATGTAGATTATTTCAGATGAGGCTGTCTTCTCCTTAAAATATTAGGTTCATCACTTCCATAATCTGGCATGTTTGGCAGCATCAGAGACCTTGATCCATGATTCCTAATTAAGCAATGACAATTAGTACTATTTTCTTTAGTTTTATATAATATTTTGTTTACCATTATATGTTGATGTTGTTTTGGGACTTGCTATGTTAAGCTATTTTGAACTCAGCTGGAGAAAAAGGCAGGGTATGCATTCACAAAATACTGGAAACCTCACATTGCGTTTACATTTTTGAAAGATGAACAACAAATACCTTTAAGAATGCCATCCTGAGCATACTTACTAAGAGGTAAGCTCCACTGAATATGATGGAATGTGCTTTCAAGCAAACGCATAGGACTGAATTTCACATGATGTTTGTGACCATAGATTTTGTCATCTGTATTATGTAAGTTGTTGACTGGATAGATCAGTGGTTTAGGTATCTGCCTGCAGAGCCAGAGGTTGGCAGTTTGATTCCCCCGCTGTGCCTCCTATGTGTACAGTCAGACTGTGGGGAAGCTGAACAGTCCCAGGATAGTGAATGGTGGACTACTTCTGTGTATTCTCTACTTGGAAACCCTTGAAAAGAACTTACTTGATAGCATATGATTATGGTTTAATATGTAAGTGATGATATAAGTATTAGAATTAAAGACTAGATATCAGAAGTCCAAAATATTATGTAGACTGCTTCAGAGAGAAATAGTTTGCTGTTGCATTTTTCAAAGCCTGCCTTCTATAACAGTTAATTAAACAGTTTCAAGTGCCTTAAAATATGCTGGATTTGCTAGTTTCAAAACAGTATTATCCCCTATTCTAAGGGTATAAATAGTACAGGGAAAAGTCATTAGTCATCCAAAGTTTACAATATAATGTGTTTACAAAATGTTTTTTCTGAGCCGTACTGAATCAAATGGAAATGGGGAAAGCTATTAAGCAGAGGAAAAAAGGCATTGCATTTCTGAAGCTTTTTGGTCTGGGAATCATATACATGAGGACAGACAGATTCTTAACATTTTTTTAGGGAAGTCTGCAATGCTGCTGGTTTTGAATTGTCTCAAATGGTTGCCAAACTGCTACTGACAAAAGAGTATGAGGATGTTGCCAATGACATTTACTTATCTGTTTTATTTACAAATCACAATATTTTGCTCTGGAGCCTAAAGCTTTGGGAAGTAAGTTAGAGGCATATTGAACGACTGCTGTTCCTTGATCAGCAGATGCTTTGTTAGCTAGCTGCATTAAAAAGGTTCCAGAGGAGAAGGCCGCTAATGGATAAAGTGTGTTCCAAGAGCAAGGACACTCTCTGACACTCTCTCCCTAGATGTCGAGCTGGATAAATATATTGGCAAAGCAGCTACCATGTTCTCTAGACTTACAAAGAGAGTATGACTTAATCAGAAGCTGACAGCATATACCAAGATGCAGGTCTATAGAGCCTGTGTCCTGAGTACACTCCTGTACTGCAGTGAGTCCTAGACCCTTTGTGCACAGCAGGAGAGGTAGCTGACCATGTTCCATATGTGTTGTCTCTGATTCCTTTTTGGTATCACCTGGCAGGACAAAGTTCCAAATAGAGTAGTCCTAGAATGAGCTGAAATTTTTAGCGTGTATACATTACTGAAACAGCGACATCTACGTTGGCTCGGGCATGTCGTGAGAATAGCTGGTGGTCAAATTCCAAAAGATCTCCTGTATGGAGAATTAGTGCAGGGAAATCACCCCAGAGGAAGACCACAGCTGCGATACAAGGATATCTGCAAGCAGGATCTGAAGGCTTTAGGAATGGACCTCAACAGATGGGAAGCTTTGACATCTGAGCGTTCAGCCTGGATTCAAACCCAATTTGAAGAGACCCTTGTCCAGCAGGCCAAGGTAAAGAGGCAATCTCGAAACCAGCAAAACCAGGGAGCTGGATGGGACAGATTGTATTTGTCTTCAGTGTGGAAGGGTTTGTCACTGCCGAATTGGCCGCCTCAATCACACTAGACACTGTTCCAAGTCCTCTGTTCAGAGCACGTTACCATAGTCTCTCATGACTGAAATATGCCTAATCTAAAAGAGCAGGGAGGAATCATTGCCTTCCTTCAACTGTCAGAGAACCAGTTGTTCAAGGTCACTTCTTTCAAGGCCTCTGTTCTCTTGACTGTGTTAGCAAGGCATCAGGTATAATGTTGGCAGTCTCTGTTAACATTCTTGTTAACATTTTTCAAGGATTAGCTTGTATTGTGTTATGGTTTGGGGAAGAGGTAGAGATTTGTTTGATTGACTCCTTTCTTATCATGCTCTTTCTGGCTAAATCAGGAGATGAAGCTACAGTCAGCATTAGTAGTTTTATTGACAGTCATCCTTTGCTGGAAATATGCAAGCTGTCAACTGAAACAAATGGCATATAACTTCTTATCCCATGCAGTTCCTCCTTTAAGTTAATTGACTTTCCAGAGGTATATAACATATGTTGTATTTTTAGTAGTTTGTGAATACTTATTCTGGCCTCCTGTAGGAGGGAGTTCCAGAGAAGGCCTTCCTGGGTCCCGACCAAGTGCACTCGTGAGGGTGGTAGCACTGAGAAAAAGGCTTCCCCTGATGATCTTAACAGCCAGACAAGTTCATAAAGGGAGATACAGTCTTTGAGATAACTTGGACCTAAGCTGTTTAGGGCTGTTATAGATTAAAACCAGCACTTTGAATTGTGCCTGAAAATGGATCGATAGCCAATGGAGCTGCTATAATGTTTGTGTGTGTGTGTGTGTGTGTGTCTGTGTGTGTGTCTGTGTGTGTTGTGTGATCTCTGTAACCATCTCCAGTTAACAACCTGACTGCAGACCTACTGAAGTTTCCAAACACTTTTCAAAAGCAGCCCCACAGAGAGTGCCTTACAGTAATCCAGCCAGGGATTTAATAAAAGGCATGTGTCACCATGGTCAAATCAGACCTCTCCATACAAAAGAATGAAAGGATTAATACAATACCTTTGAAAGGTCCAGCTGGATAATAATAGAAGGCATCTAAAGACCTGACATATGGCAGTAAAATAAAGTCAACACAATGTAAAAACTAATTTATTGCTAGAGAATCACCTGAATGTACAGTATATAGAAACTATAGCTGAAATATACTCAAAAGTTTTCCATGAGAACTCTTGTGGGTATGAGTGAGAGACTCTGCTTAAGGCCTTTAGTAGGTTGGCTGAGTGTGAATAGAGAGGGACGAGATGTTTACAGCCATTGGACCTGAGAATGTAAGGGAAATATTTGATCTTGATGATGGTCAGACTAGCTATTAAGGAGTAGGCCCATAGCTTATTGTCTTTCATGGATCCTTCATCATTGTTATATACTAAGGGCAGATTTTGCAAAATTAAGAAGAACATAATATGACTAGCTGAAGCCATCCATAATTCAGCAGTAGGATGATGCTCTGGCACTCTTCAGTTTATGGATAGCTCCAGTGCATCATTACAGACACTCTGCAACCTATCTGTCATGTGACTGTCAGAGCTAAAAGTGCATTTAAATTTTATTCTGATGTACCAGTTATACTCCTAGGATTTGGCTACCATCTTTTTTATCAGGAAATCTATTGATAGAGTTACTGTAACTTATTTCTTGTGCGCTTATTGGAAAACGTTTCAGAAAGGTCCATTGGTCCAAAGTGTGGCATGGCTTTGTAGGGAATTGACTTCAGAGCTGCCATAAAACCAAATATTTCTGTTTCTGTGTTGTGAACAGTTCATTTGGGGGGCTGAAGGCAATGTGCAGATGCCTGTTTATCAATCAAATGCATTTTTTACCTTATGTAACAATGAACTTAGTTTTGCTTGTTTAATGCTGTAGGTGGAAAAGAACAGCTTTTATATTTTCTTGTACAGAGTTTTAACTGGAAACACTCAAAAGGAAGTGGAGTTGTTGCACCTTATCAGAAAGATAGGCCACAGACCATTGCATCAGCTTTGCCAAAGCCATGCTTTACAAGTATAACAGAAGAATCCTCTGGCTTCTATACCAAAATAGAAGGGGAACAATGTTTCTTAACCGAATATACTGCTCAACAACTTTGCTGTCAACTGACATTGTTAGAACAGGTAAATCAAGTAAGGATGGCATGCAATCAGTTCTCTTCACTACTCCTATTTTCTTAAGACCGTATATGTGGGATGCTGCTATGTTGTACAACCCCAGATTCCTCCCCCTGCAGAACCTCCTTTCCCATGTGATTTTTATTGTGCTTAAAAACTAAAGTTTGGAAATAATTACTTTTTTTAGACAAAGCAATTTTTACAAACAGAATACAATATATTTAATAAAGCACAAATGTATATATTAACTGAAGTCTTGTTACTGAGTCTAATAAGTCACAACTAGAGTAAGCCTATTTAATTAGTAGTGATTTGCCATTGATTCAAGAGACTACTCTAGTTGTAACACCGTATTTTTCACTCCATAAGACACACCTCAGCATAAGATGCAGCTAATTTTTAGAGAAGGAAAACAGGAAAAAATATTCTGAACCAAACAGTGTAATAAAGTTGTATGGTATCTCTATAGGCAGAGTGGTCCCACGTGAGGCGGTCTATTACTTTATATAATACATTTTTGAATTATGTTCACCATTAGGGGAGTGAAGTAGACACCCCAAGGTGCAATGCATCAGTGTAAAGTATCAAAAATTCAGGTTTAAGATACCATTAGAGTGGGTTCCTTTGAATAGTACGACAAATCTCAAAAGAACTAAAAGCCTTTCACTCAGTGAGCAACTGAAACAAATCCTACTTTTCACCAACAATGCCTCATGTGCCCCTTAATGTCACCAGTCAGCAATCCAGCCAGGAATTCCTCTGTATTATGTTATTTATGGTAAATGATCTTCTCCCTTCCTCTGTGGACCTCTCCTCCCTCTCTGTCTCTGTCTCTCTCTCTTTCTCTCTCTCTGCTTCCTCCAGCATCTGGCTGGTCACGTGATCCAGCTGTCCAGTAAGCAGCGCTGGTCCTACAGGGCTGCTACAGATGCCCTGTAGTATCAGTGCTACTAATGAGTACAGTACTGGGAGGTCTGTTAAGCCACCACCATTTTGCCTAGTCCCAGCAAGCTTGAGGCAGCGTCCTTCCAGATCAGCGTTGTAAAAAAAAGGTGTAATTATCAGACTGACCACTAGAGAGAACCAAACGCAATGTATTTTCTTCATAAGCAACACAGACTTTTCACCTCAATTTTTTTGAACGGAAAAGTGTATCTTATGGAGCAAAAAATATGGTCTTAAGCCAAGCAACAGGATTTATGCCAGTTTATTTGAAGGAAAACTGCTGCTTTGTGGATTAAGAAGTGAGTTGAACCTAAGACATTAGGATTGGTGCAAATTAGTTCGAAAGCATGCAAATGCGAGTAGATAAATAGGTACCATCTCGGTGGGAAGGTAAACAGTGTTCCGTGTCTAAATCACACTGGCCATGTGACCACGGAAAGATTGTCTTCGGACAAAACGCTGGCTCTATGGCTTGAAGAGCGGGATGAGCGCCGCCCCCTAGAGTCGGACACGACTGGACAAAAATTGTCAAGGGGAACCTTTACCTTTACCTTTACCTTCACATGGTGAAAAAATGGAAATTGAGTGCTGAAGTGAATCACTTCAGGATGTGCTTTCACCTCCAGCAACAGCTGCAATGGTTTTGTAAAGAGGACAGAGATGCTTCATGGCCAGTTTTCATATCAAGCTTCTTGAAGATGTGCTCTTTTTTATGTCCCTGAAAGCTAGCAGTGTACAGATTGGAAGAAAACATATCTCCGTCCCACTAGCATGACATACCTTCATTCATAACCTGCATTATGTTAGAAATCGCAATCAGTGTTCACACAGGGGCTTCAGATTGATTTGGTTGTTCACCCTTCATACTGATTGCTAAGCAAATCACATTTCAGCCCACTGCCCTCTCTTCTTTCCTTCCTTTGGTCCCACCTTTGCTGAACCTTTTATGGTTTGCTGTGAAGCCACTTTCTCATTTAAAGCTTCACACTACTCATGATTTCTCAAAACCTTTTCTATAAAAAATAACACAGAAAGGTGCATAAGAGTACAGAACATCAAAAGTTTGAACAGTAATTTTACAAAATACATTATAATTCACTTGGCAGAATGATTCTATAACAGGGATCACCACCTTCCCTTTCTGATCCATTATTCGTTTCCCTTACTTTCAAGTAACACATGGAGGAATTACCTCATCTCTGTTTACATATTGTCATGACAAATGTTTTAAGTCCACTTTCAGACCTATCAGTTAGATTCAGAATTAGCTCCCAGTCCCCATCAATGAAATCATAGTGCTTTGGTTTTGCATGCCCCTTGGGCCTGAACACCATACCTCAACTGGCTACATCACCAAAATGCCACCTGTAGACATGCCTCCATCTTTACAAGAATGTACCCCAACTAGCTTCATGGGGAAAAGCCTGCTCAAATTGTTCTGGCTTGAAAAAGTAGAAGCCTCCCCACTGGCAGAGGAAAAAAGCTGCTTTGAGAGCAAAAAGGGCTGGACTGATTCAAATTAGCCTTTGCATCATGTGGTCATTAAAAAATAATTCAGATTCACCTGTTCTATAAGCAGAGCATATCCTGCTGGTATTTGACCATGTAGTTCCACTCTAGAGTTTCCATTATTAAGGCCTGAGGATGCTGAGGAGTTACTAGTCCCTTGCTCTTTTTGCCTCTTGTGGTAAGTGCCTCTCCCCTTAATTATTTTTTGGCTGCAATGAGGCAATTTTTTAAAAATATATATATATTCTTTTATTTTCTTTTTTTTTCTTAGGAAATATTCAATAAATGTCATCCAGTGCACTTTCTAAATTCAAGACAGCTTGGAGTCAAAGACAAAACTATGCCTCTCCAAAAGTGAGTTGGTACTTTGCCTGACTTAGTGGCATGTTTTGTACTAGAAATCTCTCTCTGTGTGTGTTCTGATTTAATATGTTCAGTGAGAAAATTAGTTCTGTATTTAAAGGTTGACTGAGCTCAGCATATCATAGGAGTCTTAAGGCACCAAGATACCAGCAGTCAAGATAGTTCAGAAGACAATATAATCTGGATAGCATTTCAAATTAAACACTGAAATTACTTTTCTTAGTAAACACTTTTGACAAAATGGGAGCATGCACCTATTTTGTAATGCAACATTTTATTGTTGATGTTGATGGTGATGATAATTTAATGGACTTGTGTTATATGCTGGAGGCTTACATCCTGAGATTGGGAGTGAAAATTTCCTCTTTGGTTTCGCAAGAACAGTGACTAGACCTTTCTGCATCCAGTCTTCCAGGGTACATAAATAAATGCAGGATCCTTTCCCTATGCCAGCTCCCTGTATGTCTTCACCAGTCAATACTGAAGGTGGCAGTCTTTACCATGAAGTCCACTATGTTTGGTTGTGGGTGGGTGTCTATGTCTCTCTCTAAACAGAGAAAAGGCACTTCTTCTATCCCATACTCCAGGAAACCCCGGTTTTGCTTGTTTCCCCGTCTGCAAGTGAATTTCCAACCCTTCAGCGGACATGTCAAGCCACTTTCCACTTGTGAACCTGGAAGTGTGGAATAACTCAGTGCTATATTTTCTTTATTAGATGTATTGAAAATGCCTATGCAGGATAAGAGGATATTCATTCTTGTCAACAGGAACAATCTAAGCAGGTTATAGCTTTAATGCATCTGTAAGCAATTTCCCTTCCCAGTGCAAATAACCACTCTCTCTCTTGCTTTTTTAATGCAGTAGAGACTCTTAAGAGTAGCAAGAGCAGATGGATTCTAAAGTACTTTACTGTGGCATGTAGGGGAAACAGATGGGGTTATGATTGAGCTTCTAAGGGAACACTCTAGTAAATTTCCAGACCATTCTTTTCAGAGGTAAAGGAGCAGAAGAGGTTTGGGATGACAGCCTAGGAGAAAGATAGGGCAGAAAGGAAAAAAGGGAACTTAGCAATTCTACTGCAGTTATTGCTAGAGGTAAAAGAAAAGAAATGAAGCGTTTTAGAGTAGAAAAGTGATTTTTTTTAAAAAAAAATGAAGATGGAGTGAGTTTTGAAGGTCTGAGTTTTTTACTCCTGGCGTCAAGAAGGCTAGAAACACTAGCCAATCTTGACAGAACAATAGGTTGTAAATCGGATAAGCTAAGTCAATTATCAAGGTTCTCCTTAAGGCCAGAAGTTTGATAAAATTCTGAGGCATCTGCTGCTTATCCTTATAATTGGCAATTATTAGGTCTGACAATCATTTTGGTTTAATATTCTATTCTCAGTATTCTAATATGGTAAATGGCTCATTACCTTTTCAAGGTATAATTACTTCCAAAATGCCCATGCTGTTTGGGTTGGTATCTTTTACACTCCATATGATTTACTTAAAATCATACTAGCCTTTGCACGATTATAATTAGTATTTAAATGTTGTAGATGTTTCTCTTTTACAGAGCTACTGCCTCGGAGCCCTTGCCTACCCAAGTCTGTAACCTTTTTACGAAAAACTGTGTCCAAGACAACTACCTCTTGCAAATTTTGAAGTATGCAGACAATGTCAGTGCCTGGGTTGCTGGTGAAATTGTAACAAGCTACAGTTCTAAGGTTTGCAGGCCTTGTTTTCTTCCTATTTCATAACTATTTTTATATATAGTTATTACCTGTATGGTATGGATATGGCATTCAAGAGAAGGAAGAATTTCCCTTCCGTGAACTTCCACTATAATATAAATTATAACTTCATGCTATCAAGTCATTTCTAACTGACCCTTCTCTGGGTTTTCGAGGTACAAAATACATAGAAATGGCTTACCATGTCCTTCTTCTTGGAGCACTGTTTGACCTTGCAGCTTGCCCAACCCAAGCTGGCTCTTCTCCTAGACTACTGTGTTCCAACTCCCTGAGCTATCCAGCAGCAGCTTCTGACTATGGAGTTCCCCCCCCCCAAGACTACAGCGAAGGAGAGAGAATTAAAGTTCCTGCCTCATAGAATCCAAAGTTGCCCAGGCTCTTCTTTTGCTGTTATTTGCATATCAAAAATACGCACAATCGCAATCACAGAACTAATCTTCGGCCCCTCCTTTTCAGGGGCAGAAGCAGGCTCTGGAAAATGAAAAGCATAGCTGCCACTCAAGGCCTGAACGTTATGATGATCATTATTAGTTTATCTGTGTGCCAATTTTCCATGGTAAGCCATGCTCAAAGCAGCTCATAACATGGGAAGAGTTGACATAATATTGCAACATTTCAATGCAGCTGTAGCAAAGAAACATAATTTAGTTATTTAAATATTACTAGGTTAATCAGAGCATCTCCTATGGATACACCAAGATAAAGCAGTGGAAAACGTATCTCTTTCTACAGCTTCCAGATCCCTCCCAGCCCACATAGTCACACATAGTTCTGTAATTCATACTAAGGCCTAGCAGGAGAAGTACAAAAGCAAGATTCAGGATTGTGTTGTTCTGCTGCATTCCAATGGACCAGAGAATCTGTTTGGCCTTGTAGGTTCTGTACCTCATTTTATTAGGCTTTTAGTTCTTTCCTGATTGAGGTGTGTGTGTGCATCTCCGCGCACATGCAATCATATATGTATAATTTTTATACTGTGCTTTGAATTGTTCGTATTTGTTGTTGATGTGATGTAGTGTATGCAATTTTGCATATAAATGAACACATTTCAGCCAATTGTGACAGAAGGAAACCTATCTTTCTATCAAGATTACCCCCCTCCCCAGAAGCTGTGTCACCTGGAAATGCATCTACAGTGGAGGATTTACTGATAACCCTTTGGGCTTTTTCACTTTCACTTTAAGGGCTGCAGAGCAGGATTCACAGCAGAGACTTAAGAAAGTCATAGTTGCAAAGATTATTTCATTTAATTCATTTGCCTCTTTGTAGAGAAGAACCTTTTGCGGCATATATTTCCTTCTGTATCTCATTTGATTAGTTTAGTTTATGTTTCATAGTGAATGAACATTAATGTTTTCTGGTTATATTTCCACGTGTGTGTGTGTGTGTGTGTGTGTGTGTCTGAGAGAGAAGTTAAAGAAAGAAAAAACTTCTGCAGTTAGGCCAGAGCTGCAGGCAGACTATGAGTTTCTGAAGTGGTATTAGAATTCAGCTTTGATCTTGCCTGCTACATATGTTTCTGCCAACAAGGGGCCTTTTCCCAGCTTGAGATGAAAAGATCACTACCCCATGAAAGTGAAGGTTTATAGAATGCTATTTCACACCAATTTGGTCAGGTCTGTACTATTTAAGATAGCCACGGCTACATGGGCACATGAATCCCATTTGTCAATTTCATGATTCAGGGCATAATTCTAGCTTTCATTAAATCCCCTTTTCTAGGGAGGGTATCTTACACAAACATTACCCAGAGACTACAGCTAGCATATCTTCCTACTAATGGCCAAAAAAATAAGGTTGGTCAAAGGAACAGATCTGGTGATAAAAGCTTCCATCCAAGGAACAGATCTGGTGATAAAAGCTTCCAAAGTAGCTTGCCTGTTGCAGCCTGCTTCTGGTTCAATGAGAAAGAGAAATTGAGATAACAGTTCCCCATGCTCACCTTTAGGCTGCATAATATATTGATAATGGGAACACGCATTTCGCTTAAGGCTTCTGTTTCAAAGAGAAAGAGAAATTGAGATAAACAGTTTCTCATGCTCACCTTTAGGCTGCATAATACATTGATAATGGGAACACGCATTTCGCTTAAACACCCATGATGTAAACGAAACATAAGCTCTATGCGGATCTTTGCCCCAACATGAAGAGGGCTGACATGTGGCAGTGATCTGGCCACACATGTAAGCCACACCTTCAGTATCCAGTTCACCCCACTGCATTATCACACCAGTGCAGTCAAAGGATTCATTAAATGTTTTCAGCTGCATGTTTTCACAGAATTGCTGTGATCAGAAACTCAGAAAATGTAAGGTTCCTGATTTTCTGTGAAGATGTTCAGCTGAGTGTGCTTACAGAACTCCTTGGTCACATTCTTGCTGAGCATGCAGAGATACAGAATGTAGTCAGTTGTGGGAGTGGAGCTTGTGTCTGTGTCCACGACACATCTCCATGCTGATCTTAGTCATGTGCAGATGAACACTTGTGTGTTATATTAAGGATTTGAGGTGAAAGACTCTTAAGGAGATTAAAGTATTGAGGCCCAACCTAGAGAGGAACAGGACAAGCAAAATGTATAGACACAGTTTGTGCCCAAGTTGAGCACTAAATGCTTGACAGAAATACATTTATGGAAAGAAATCCATGTATCTGCCTCAGGGTTTGGAATGTGCATATTGAGGCAAAGATCACCTGGTCTATCACTGCTGTTTCTACCCATTTGGAACACTCCGTAGCTGTAATTCAATACACCTCGTTGTTGGGCTGTGACTGTCAGGCTGCATGCGTGGATCTCTCATGCTTCAGCTGTTCCATACCCATCACTCTGTAGCCTTTGCAGACAAACATTTCTTTGGCTTCCAGTTGGCTACAGGGAAGTATTGCCGTGTCAGTCTCACAGCAGGTATCTTCCTTGAAAGAAGTACAGCAGTGCCTCGCAAGACAAAAGTAATTTGTTCTGTGAGTAGTGCTGTCTTGCGAAATTTTCATCTTGCGAAAAGCAGTTAATTCATCTTGTGAAAAGCAGTTAATTCATTCGTCTTGCGAGGTTCCCGTGAAAAGCAGTTAATTCATTCGTCTTGCGAGGAAAAAAATCATCTTGCGAAGCATGGCCATAGAAGAAGCCATCTTGCAAGTCACCAACACGATCGCAAAACACTTTTGTCTTGTGGGTTTTTCGTCTGGTGAGCCATTCGTCTTGCGAGGCACCACTGTGTCTTGTGGGTTTTTCGTCCGGCGAGCCATTCGTCTTGTGAGGCACCACTGTACATTGCAAGCTTTACCCATCTAAAGACACTGGTCTGTTAGAAAAATAATGAACACACATGTATAGTGCTGTGTTTTTCTTGCCATTAATGCTAATGGTATGCCAGTGAAAAGTAGTACTAAACCAACTTAAAAATTAACAAGTAGGGGTGAGAACAGTGCATCACATCCTTAAAAGCAGACATAGTCTCTGAAGGCAGATGGTAGAGGGGTTTGCTTTGGTGACTGCAGCCCTAAAGGGTTCTGTGGTTGTCTGAATGTTGTCCAACTGATTCGTTTGAACATCTAATATTCCTTGTTACTGAAACAGATTGCCTGTGCCAGTTTGCTGTTATTGGGCTGCTTTAATTATCCATTGGATACTGTAATGGGGAAATTAAGGTGTTGCCATTATCCTGCTTTCCTATTCCATACATGTATTCAGAACATTTATGTAGAGGAAATTCTTTGTCATGTCATTTTCACAGAATTATACACTTCAACAAGAGAATGTTTTTGATATGTTTTGTTCCCTGTTTTTCCAAGCAGAAAGATTGCTAACTGTTCCTTTAATAGTATTTCCTGCTTTTGTCTGTAGCACTTCTCAGAAATGCATATTATTGTAAATTGGTAACCAGACAACAAACAATTAGCAAACAGACCTCTCCCACCCCTACCTCTTTGCTGTTCAGTAACAAATTGATGGAGGCAGGGTTTCACACAACAAAGATGGCATGAAATAAGTACTTCATGATTTCCTGCTCCCACATGTAAAGCAAGGTTTGTTAATTGTAGTAATTTATCTGCTCTGGCACTGTAAGTCTCAGTTTTTAAAACCAGCTTTTAGATTTTGCCATTGATGGATAATGTGTTTCATCTCATTTAAATGGTTGAGTTATTTACCATTGAGCTATTTCCAGTTGCCTCCTTTAATTGCAATGAGGCGCACTCTACTGCATAACAATATATAATAGATTTAATGGCAGCCTAGTTAATCATAAGTTTAATGTCAGTGTGTTTCCAATCATATATTACACCTGTTCATACAAATGGTCATATATTTTGCAGAATTTTTATTATAATTGTTTTAGAATAGAATAGAAAAGAATAGAATAAAATAACACTTTATTGTCATTTCATATGCAACAAAATCACCAGAGTGCTATCCAGACAATATTATTCATTCAGTTAAAACTCCATATAAACTCCTTAAAAATTCCAACATAATACAACAACGAAAATACATTCACATGCAACCCTACAACAAGTCAAATTAAATCTTAACTGAATTTAGCAAAGTCATCACTCTTGGATACAAACTGTTTTTTAAATCTATTTGGCCTTGTTTTAATAGATCTATATTGTCCTCCGGAATTCAAGCAAAGAGTGTCCAGGTTGGGAGGTGTCCTTTATAATATTTTGTGCATTTTTAAGACAGTGGGACCTGTACAGTTCCTCCAAGGTGGGGAGGGGACACCCAACGATCTTCTGTGCTGTATTAATCACCCTCTGGAGCGATTTTCTCTGGGCCACTGTACAACCTGTGGACCACGTGCACATGCAGTATGACAATGCATTGTCTATTGAGCATTGATAAAAGGACACCCACATTCTCTGAGTGATGTTATTATACCTAAGCATCCTTAGAAAGTACAACCTCTGTTGAGCCTTTTTCAATACCTCTGAGGTATTTACGCTCCAAGTCATGTTCTCCTCCATATGGACACCCCAAAAATGAAAAACCCTCACCCTTTCTACCCAGTCTCCACTGATGAATAATGGTGGGATGTCCATTCTCTTCTTCCTTTTACAGGAGCAAATGAACATGCTAACCAAATTTCTCCTCACTGCAAAATGTTGCTATGAGCAAAGAAATTTTGCTACTGCGATACAAATCCTGAGAGGACTGGAAAATCTCATTGTGAGACAATTGCCAGTGAGTAAATACTTACTTTGTAGCTCATACATGAAATGTAATTTTTATAGTATTTCATATGGGCAAAATGATGTATTCCACCTCAAAGACTACAGAGAACTAAAATTTTATTTTCTTCTTATATTAAGGTCTGGAAATGTTTGGCTTCTAAAGTATCAGACATAATGGAAGAACTGAAGGCTGTTGAGGTACAGTAGAAGTAATAGTTTGTGAGCGCTGAATGGAGAAAGTTGTCTCCTTCTGATCACTCATTTCAGCACAAGCTGCGATGTGGCTAATGGCAAGCTTGACCTGCAAAAGCATTGAATTCCTCTGACTTTGCTTGGGGCCTTGAGGCCAGAAAAAAAAACCCAAGAGCACCGTCATTCTCACTTGCACTGTGAAGGAGTTCTCAGTTCACAAACCCCATCCATTCAGAAAGCCCAAGAGCACGGTCATTCTCACTTGCACTGTGAAGGAGTTCTCAGTTCACAAACCCCATCCATTCAGCTTAAGATATATGAGAGTGGAGGAGAGGGGTTGAAAGCAGATGAGTCCCTTGAGCCCCAACCTCTTGGAGGGGCACCATGTGCTGGTTCAAGCCTGTTTTGCTATCCAGTGTCCAGGTAAATTGGTTGTTGTGGACTAGTGTTTCTGTCTAGACCACGGAAAATATTCTCTTAGTTAGTTTCCCATTCTTCTTGCATAAGAAATGAAGCTTATTAGAGATCAAATGTTCTATGCCTCCCTTCATATACCTCTTCCCCCCACCACACTGCTTCCCTCAAAATTATCTAGTTCCAATAAGGAAATGCACGTATTTTCCTTTGTTCTTGAGAAACAGTTGAAATCTAAAGAAATTTGTAAGCAGAGGATCTTAAGTGCATCTTTAGTGTTTCCCTGGCTTATGTCCATTGTCTTTAGTACAGTTGGTATTGTGTGTTTTTAAATACACACACACACACACACACACACACACACATTTCAGCTTTCTTCTGAGGAACCTACATTGTCATTGGTGGCAAGTATCCCAATTTATTCTCACCCTGGGCTTTTGATTCTGCAAGAGATATTCTGAGATCACAGTTAGCTTCATAGTTTAGTGAGAGTTCAAATGCAGTCTTCCTTGTCTAAGACCAGCAGCTGAACGAATCGTGATGAGCAAGGGTCAAATTAGATGAAATGTACCACTTGCTGCACTTGCATTTTAGAAAGAGACAGCCCATTTGTCTGCCAGTAATGGAAGTTCTTCAGAGTGACCCACCTGAGAAATGGGCTTGTAAAACAAGCCTCTGTTTACCATTCAGTGACCAATCACTGAACAAAGCAAGCTAATTTGCAAAATGCAGAGGTGGGAAGAGTTCATTTGAAGACAACCAGATGTCTTTTATCACTTTAGGAAGCACTGCTTCTAAATCTGGAGTTCACTGTCTTGGTTTGACCCTTAGAAACCTTGTCTGTAGTAAGTCTAATCATTCCCCTGACTGGACAACAGCTTCTGAAAGGGATTGTAAGTTAATTTCAGATAAAACAGACTCCTACTTCTCTTGCTGTAGATGTGAATGTTGTGCCTCGATGAACACAGCCAGATATGACATTTTCCTGGATAGAAATAATTTGCTGGCATGCCTCTCTAATCTGCAGAAATAACAATAGCTGAGAAAGTGCTGTCAAAGCTCTTTGATGTTTCCTTAAGAAGCTACCTCAGAGGCTTTTGAGCTGGGGGACCTCAATAACCTTACCTCCATGCATTATTTTACCTTTTATAATCTTGGTTCTTCTCCTTAAATATGCTTAAATATGCTTATTTTAGCATTAGGTGTGTTCATTGCAGTGTATCAAAGCAAAGACTTTGCTGGAATCAAACATCTCCTTTTATGTCTTGCTGTAAACATCTATGTACATCTCTGTAAATTATCACAGGTGTTTTTAAAAAGTGACAGCTTATGTTTAATGGAAGGAGGGAGTTTTAGAAGTTCACCAACAATTCCATCTGCCCACATTTTGGCCATGCATATCCAGCAGCTTGAAACTGGAGGATTTACTTTGAGAAATGGCACATACAAGTGGACTAAACTCAGGTATTCTTCTTTACATTACAGAATTCTATAACAATGAATACATTCTTGCAAATTAAATGAAACTTAAACTCAGTGTATATTCAGTTTTTTTAAAAAAAACTGGATCTATTTTTGGATGTTATTGCATTGCAGAGAGTCTTGTGCATGTTTGTGGGGAAATTATTTTGAATGTACAAACTGTGCACTACATTCTTCTTGTACTTTGTCAGTTTTAAAACAAAGAACTAACCAATGCATTTCTTTAATCTCTTCTCTTTTGAAAGAAACATTGCTAAAGTTGTGAGCCAGGTTCATGCATTTCAAGAAAATCCCTACATGTTCCCTCCAGATCACCAACTACAGTCTTTCTTAAGGCAAAGAATAGCCTGTTTTGCTGATGCAGACATCTCTGCTCTAGCAGCTGACAACTCTGCCAACTTTCACCAGATAGGAGCTGAAAAACAGTCCCGAAAAATCCAAGACACATTGCACAGGATGAAGGCGATGTTTCAGTAGTGGTTTCTGTGTCATTTTTCTCTCATGTTTTATGTTTAAAATTAATTTTTTTGCTTACCAGATGGTGCCACATGTGAAATTAGCTTTATATTGCAAATCAGATATAAGTTTGCTTGGAAGGAAGTCCAGTTGTGTCCACTGGAATTTGCTGTCACACAAGCATGCCTATGGCTGCAGCTTCAAAGCACAGCCTCCATTTGGCCACAATACTAACAAAGGCTGTATATATGACTCAGTTTGTATTTAAAACATTGAAACCCTTACACATAAGGAGCAAGATAGTGGGATCAGATCTAAACGGTTAAAACACTCACCTTTTAGAAGCATGTTTCAAAACATCCTGAGATGGGAAAGGGCCTATCCTGTCACTATGAAGACAGAGAAGTCCATTAGAAGTGTTTTTCGGACTGGTCTTTTATTTCCAAAGGAATCTTTTCCCACTTAGGTAGAGAGGGGGAGTCTCCTCCTTGCCTGGGCAGGGAATGCTTTAGAAGTTCCTCTTTCTCTCAACTACTTATGTTTCTTCCAAGGACTTAATAACAAGAATTACATTTCGTCAGGTCAATTCTGACTTAATTGATCCTTTCCAGCTTTTTCTATGTATAGAGTGCTCAGAAATGGTTGACTGTTCCCTTCTTGTGGGGGATGTTCTAGGGCTGTGAAGCTTACTCTTAGTCAAAGAGAAGAAATACTACAAAAGTCTCCTGCTATGTGAGTCCCTGTGTTCCTAGTTTCTCTGTGAAGACTCTTGTTAGTAAAAGGAACCACAGAGCACAAGGACTAAAGCAATAGAAGTCTCTGCAGCCCAAGAAGAAACAGGAGATTTCTAAAGGTGAGAGAAATCCAAAAAGGCTGAGAGCTGGATGTAGCCTGTGACCCATCACTGCCTTTCTGTGGCCTAGAAAAATAATCCATCTGGCAGCCTTAAGGATCTGAGTGCACATTAAGGAAAATAATGCACTCGCCGCACATATGTCTTCTCCAGTACATTGCTCTTTAACACACTTGTTCCCTCTTTTTCTTCAAATGTTCATTTGCAACAGAGATGGGAAACGTGTCCATCCAGGTCCTGTTGCAATGTGGCTTCCATCAGCTTTAGCCCCAGCAGAGTCAATTGTGAGTGATGATGGGAATTATAGTTGAATATATTCGCAAAGGCTTTCACGGCCGGGATCTAATGGTGGTTGTGGGTTTTTCGGGCTCTTTGGCCGTGTTCTGAAGATTGTTCTTCCTAACGTTTCACTAGTCTCTGTGGCCGGCATCTTCAGAGGACAGCACGCTACAGCAGAGCACAGAGTGCTGTCCTCTGAAGATGCCCATGGCCACAGAGACTGGCAAAACGTTAGGAAGAATAACCTTCAGAACATGGCAAAAGAGCCCGAAAACCCACAACAACCAGTTATAGTTGAGTTGCATCTGAATGTGGGACGTGGTGGCGCTGTGGGCTAAACCGCAGAAGCCTGTGCTGCAGGGGCAGAAGACTAGCAGTCGTAAGATCGAATCCACACGACGGAGTGAGCTCCCGTCGCTTGTCCCAGCTCCCGCCAACCTAGCGGTTCGAAAGCATGCAAATGCAAGTAGATAAATCGGGACCACCTCGGTGGGAAGGTAACAGCGGTCTGTGTCTAAGTCGCACTGGCCATGTGACCATGGAAAGATTGTCTTTGGACAAAACGCTGGCTCTATGGCTTGGAAACGGGGATGAGCACCGCCCCCTAGAGTCGAACACGGCTGGACAAAAATTGTCAAGGGGAACCTTTACCTTTACCTGTACCTGAATGGGCACACGTGCTCCATCTGATTTAGAAGGAAGATGATCTTCCTTTGCATGGGATCTCTAGATTACAAGACACTGTCAAGAGCATCTGCTTGCTCTAGCATAACGCAAACTGTGCCAAAAGCCCATCAACTTGTTTGTCATTTGTATGGATGATATTGTCTTATGCAGCTGAGGGGCTTCTCTGGTGCTGCTTTCAGGCTTTGGAACCCACTCCCGCAGGAGCCCAGGCTGGCCCCATCTTTGCCCTCCTTCTGCAAGCAGGCAAAGGCCTTTCTCTTCAGGCAACCCTTCCCTCAGGGACTGGCAACCTCAAAGGGGGTAGGTGGGTGGGTTAATGGATGGTTGTGCCTTACTGATCTGAATGTGTTTTTGATGTTGCCTTTGTTTACTGTCTTTTAATGTGGTATTTGTTTGATCTTTTTTAGTATTTGCATACTTACTGTTTTTAACTTTAAATATTGTCTTTTAATGATGTAAGCCTCCTTGAGTCCTTGTTATGGAGAAAAAGGGGGGTAAAAATATTTTAAACAAAACATAAATAAATAAACAACTGCTTTTTCATCATGCAGAAATATGCAGAGCTGACCAGGACTTGGCCTCTTCCCCCACCAAACCCAACTCCAACACAAATGCTGATTATTTCTAATGAACCCCAGTTGGGCTTGTTCAGTGTGCACTGTTTTCCTTATGCCATCTCCAATGGAAGGCGCAGTGCATGTCAGTCAGTATAGAATTATCCTCTAAATATTATTTTATATAATCTAGCAGCTATGTGTTGCTGTTGCTTTGACTGGACTAATTTTTGTGTGCCTGTAATTAACTATATTTCATGTATTTTTGCATCTTAACCCTTACACCCACTAAAATACTAGCTTTGCACAATGAACAAATTTAATGCGAGAAGCATTTTAGACTATTTGGTATGCTTATTAATCATTTCCTTGTTGCATTTAAATAAAAAAAAAGATGGCCTCCCTGCTTTATTTGTCTCAAGAAAGCTTAGTTCAGTTAAGTCAGCAATCTTTCACTGTACAAAGTGGCTCCTAGAAGAAAATAAGCCTTTCTATGTGAAACTTAACAAAAGACTACTTATACCTTTGCCTCTGTAAATTAAAATATAAAAATTATATGCTAAAAGTACCCTATTTTCAATTACTTAAGTCATGCTGCGTTGTCTTGTATTAATAAAGCTTTCTGATTTTTTAAAATGTGTTTGAGTTTCCTTGTGATGAAATCTGCTGTTTCTAGTATAGTATTTAACTTATTGTGTTTAAAAATAGCTTTCTTCTTTCTTTCTTTTTTCCTTTGTGAAACAGGTGGTATTTAATACAATAAAATGTTTAAAGCCGCATGTTGGTGTTTTAGATCAGTGGTTCTTAACCTTTGTTACTCGGATGTTTTTGAACTGCAACTCCCAGAAACCCCAGCCAGCACAGTTGGTGGTGAAGGCTTCTGGGAGTTGCAGGCCAAAAACATCTGAGTAACCCAAGGTTAAGAACTAGTGTTTTAGATCATGAGAATAAATTGGTGATTTTATGATAGTTCTCTTGCAAGTGTTATATCTCTAAGTTTCTGATTCACTGTATTCACGAAGGCTTTCACGGCTGGCCTCTAAGTTTCTGATTCACTGTATTCGCGAAGGCTTTCACGGCTGGGATCTAATGGTTGTTGTGGGTTTTTCGGGCTCTTTGGCTGTGTGCTGAAGGTTGTCTTCCTGAGATCAGAGATGCCGGCCACAGAGACTGGCAAAACGTCAGGAAGAACAGCCTTCAGAACACAGCCTGAAAGCCCAAAAAAACCCACAACAACATTTCTGATTCACCTTTATATAGACTTGATGTTTTGCTAAAGAGGACGTTTTTGTTTTTTATGCCTTTAAAATGAACTCTTGAAACACAAAACTGATTGTTCTTAAGAGTATCAGAGATGCCGGCCACAGACACTGGCAAAACGTCAGGAAGAACAGCCTTCAGAACACAGCCTGAAAGCCCAAAAAAACCCACAACAACATTTCTGATTCACCTTTATATAGACTTGATGTTTTGCTAAAGAGGACGTTTTTGTTTTTTATGCCTTTAAAATGAACTCTTGAAACACAAAACTGATTGTTCTTAAGAGTAATTTTAGTCTGAAATACCGCATCTCCAGTAAACTTCCCCCCTGCCTAATCACCCTCATTCAAGAACACTGAGAACATATGGAGCTGTCTTATTCTCAGTTAGACCATCTGGATAAGGGTTAAGCTACAAAACAGACTGCAGGCCATGGGTAGTGACCAATATGGTTTTTTTTAATGCTTTCTCCTGCCCTCATTCCTTCTACTGAAACAGTGCTGCCAAAATGAGTGCACACGCATCCACTGAAAGAACTACTTCTGTGGATCACTGAAAGCAGTGTGAAAGAAGTGTCATTTGGAGTCCTCCCTTCAAAAAGGCAAGGAGAAAAGCTATCATGGAGACTGCCAGGACGCTATGGTATAAATGGCACTCTAGTTGCCTCCTGCATCACAGAGAGGCGTGCTGAATTTCATCTGCTACTGCCGTGGTAGAGGGAATATTTGTTGGCAATGGCAGTAAGAACTTCAGCAGCAATAGGGACCCCAAGTGAGCTTGAGATGGTCCACGGTGCCCCCTGGATCTTGGGAAGTTATACACTCCCAATCTGGGGAAAAAAAATATTTACTCTTGATTAGAAGGTTTCCAAGGTCTCTTGTAAAGGTCTTTATGGAATTTGCTGCCTTAGATCCTTAGCAAGGATTGAAGCTAGATATTTCTAAAGGCTGAGCACATTTGAGCTTTTGCGAAGTTGTAACAATGATATTTAATCTGCAAAGACTCATTGACACATGAGTCACATAGGTAATCATGGGACTGAGAAGGATAGAGAAGATCTTGGATCGATATTTCTCTGCTTCCAAGCAATCAGGCTCAGAGTGATCAATATTGTTGTAGCTTGCAGATCTGCAGGAAAAAAAAGATGCTTCTAATATTGGAGATGAAAGTGTGAATCAGTAAGGAACCATGGACGTAACACACATTTTTCACAGATGGTGCTATCTCAAAGGGTGTCAATACACAAAAGAATATTGCTCGTATTTTCAAAAGTATTGATTTGAGATTACTGTTTCCCTGTATTTGTATTTCACTAAAATACACACATTTAACAGAATAAATAAAATAAGCATGTGCTGCCAAGTCAATTCTGACTTATGACAACCCTTTTCAGGGTTTACTAGGTAAAGAATGGTTTGTCATTCCCTTCTTTTCTGAGGGCATCCTAGGAGGCTGACTCTACTAATAGAGGGCACAGTGGGGAACTGAATTCCCAATGTCTGACTACTGAGCTCACTCAGTTTTTCAAATGATGATGACAACAATAATATTTGCACATATTGCAGTGATGACACAAGTCCACTAAAACCCCATAACCCGGGCTTCATACATAGAAAGGAAAGTCAAGATGGAAAATAAACAAAACTAGCCTTCGAGAATACAGAAAACTAATTGCAAGAACTAGTCTGACTAAATCCCAAGGAGCCCTCCCAGTGTTACTCTACAGACTGAGCAGCAAAGAGAAAACAGTGGGGAGTAGTGGTGGTGGTAAACCCTCTTTTCTGCTGCCTTCCATGTGTTTAGTCGCTTGTGTTGACCATACTTGAACTCCATAAATCTCTCTCTTTTGAAATAGCTGTTTTGTATACATCAAATACAGCAGTATTTCTATGAAAATGCATTCTAAGAAGTGCAACATAAGCCATGGGCAAAAAAGGTCAGATCAAAACCAATGAGATCAGAAAATGCTGAAGCTGTATAAATTCCAGCCAATGGAGCATGTGTAAGGTCTTATAATGACATAGGCCCACTGAAATTGGTGTTGTTTCAAGACTATAAAAATGCTTGTCATATGTGTTTGCTCTAAGCCTCCAGTGATTTTATCTTACTATTTGAGGTTGAAAATTCTTCAAAGACAGGTAAGATGAAAACAACTGAATTTCCTTGCATGTCATTGTGTGATAGTCCATATCTCTGCTCCATAAAGTAGAAAGGACAGTGCAACAGTGTTGTCGATCTTCAACTTAGCAGACAGATTGGAACAGGGTACTTTCAATGCAGAAGCATAAAGATAGAAGGGACATGAACAGCCATTGAAACCAAGTTAAGGTCAAGGATCACGCAGTCCCCACTGCAGACAACAAGTAGACTTCAAGAAGATGTGCTCACAGACCATATTAATGGTGGATACATCCCCCAATGAAACCGCTGGTATGTCAGACTGGATAAAGGAGAGGAGAAAAGCATGATTTCCCTAGTGGAAAAATCTTCTTCCACAGTTCAATGATGGTATTCCCAATCCAAATTCATCTGTTCAAGAATATTTTATTCCTCTGACCTGGAGATA